CTGGTGTAATGTTGTGCTCTTACCTTACAGTCAACAGTAGTAAATCCTGTCAGGACAAGTGGAGACAGTCGGACAGTGTGCTCCCATCGGACACACCCAGTGCCGGTAACCCTGCGCCCTGCACCCCCACAGGAAGCCCCGTGTGTGGCGTCCTCCGGTCGTGACGAGGATGATTAAGAGTTCCTTCCTTTCCGTTTCGGAGGTGCATTGTCCTGCTGAGCAGACAGGCTGCCGACACCTTGTCCTGCAGAAGGAAGTGAGTCCCTCAGTACAAGGAGCAGCAAGGACCAATTGCACACCTCTTCATTAAGGTTTAATCATTCATTTGGGATTAATAAAGTCTTATTTTGATTCTGTGAATCAACTTGGTTAGATTTAAAAATAGTCCAAAGCCCCTGGTCCTGTTTGTTTGTGCCAGAGGTTCCCAACAGGGTGGGATCCTTTTAGGGGAGAGGCAGGAGAAATGTGAAGGGTCATGAGAAATGTTTCTGCAAGATTTTATTTTGAAACTTTTATTTAAAGCCTTTATTAGTAGTGAACTATTGGATCAGTTTACCACATAAAGCCATATCTAAATTAAGTGGATCATTCAATTCAATAATGTTTCTGTTATTCAGAAACATTGCACAATTCTGTGAGACTTTCAGTTAAATTGTAGTAGTTTTTAGCATTACCTTTGATTAAAAAGACAGTTCACCCCAAAAAATACCTGCAGTGATATTTATTTATCTCGATTTTTGTGGTGTGAGTTGCAGAGTGTTGAATATATATTAGCTGGTTGTTAAATTATTAACAACTTGTATTAACTACTTTTCCACTTCAAACACTACAGGTCTGGTGCCATCTAGTTCCATTGTATTTAAGAGGCAGACATGATATGCATGATATTTCTAACACTGGCAGCTCAAACCAACACAATCAACATTAATAAATAGCATAACATGAGAGTCAAACGTTTATAGAGTGGCGAAGTCCCTCCCTTTCCGGTGGATCTCCATGGGACCTTATTTCGAAAAAAGTATGTATAAGTCAATGGAGAGAGAAAGATTATCTTTCGATCCCGTTTGAATTGTGCCACGAATTACACATATGATGTTTGTCAATTTAAAAGAAATGTGTCGTAAAACTGTGAAGTAACACATTTGTTTGTGTGAAACGCTCAATGAACTACATCTCTGGTCTTGCAGAACAACACACGTCACCAAGATGGCCGTCACTACTGTCTTGTCAACAAAAACGATTAACTACCCTCACTATCACCACAATGAAACACGTCCAGAAGAATGTCATGCAAAGCTGCCTGCCTGCCTTCCTTTGATTCTCTCTGAACTGCCTGGTCTTTCTAATGTTTAATGTCAACCATTTGTCCAGATAGCATGAAGTAGAAAAGATCGGCGATCGCCGATGCTAGCGTTAGCATTTCTCCCCCGGGCTTAAATTGTGTATTATAGAATGATCACACCGGTGACAGTACTCTTCAAACTTTAAAGGGTTCACGAAATATGACTACTACTCTTACGGCCCGTCCACACTACAGCGTCGACAGCTTCAATCTGCTCATTCGCTTTGAATGGGGTGACGTCACGTTGCCGCTTTTTTTCGCCGAACTGAATTGTGGGTAGCATAGCGGTCCGTCTCCGCCGGAGACGCCGGAGTAGCCAGCGCCAGCCAATCAAATCCCGTTTCGGAAAATCTGACAGCTCAAGCCGTAGCCAATCAAACCGCGTCTAAGCTGGGAGAGATATCCCGCCGTTCATTTCTATATTTCAAAAAAAGATGGAGGAGAAACTAGTTATCGCCGTAGACAATCACCCGGTTTTGTATGACCAGACCCTCTTCACCTACCCGGATACAAACCGGAGGAACCAAGCATGGAGGGAGGTGGCAGAGACAGTGGGTGAAACTGGTAGGTTTTCGCCTGTTTGGGGAGTTTATATATATATTGCTCCCATAAAATCCCCGGGGGTTTTTGCTTTGTATGTCGGGGGCGGGAGATTCATGTGATTGGTTGTTGGTCGCGTTGCTTGAATAACATCCCCAAGCTTCAGACACGCCCAGCTCCAAGCTTTTTTTGAAGCTGTAGTGTGGACGCTCCGTTACTGTTTAACATTTTTGGGTTACTTAATGTTACTTCATATTAAGGCTAATACAAATGACAAGGCTGTAATGCTAACTAACGTGCTAGCTACTAGTGATGTTACGTATTGCGCCGAGGCTTCGGAGCGTGTGTCGAGTAATCCCCGAAGCTTTTTGTGAAGCTGGTATCGAGGCTTGTATCGTTTTGGGCCAGTGACGTCACCGATGACAAACGAAGCCTCGCTGCCTGTCAATACCACGTGACTGCTTCAGAAAGCGATTCAGATCGGTTGAACCACAACGCTCCTATTACCCATGGATGTATAATAAGAACCCCTCCTGTACCCGGGCCGGCGGGGACACGATGGAATTAAGAGAGCTCAGACCCTCACTTATATAGAGGTCGGAACATGTCATAAGTATAAATAAATAAAAGCATAAATAAAAGTAGGAATAAAAACATCAATAAATGAATAAATACAGGAATAAGTTGAATATAGTGTTTTCAGTCATAATCAGTGTGTGTGCTGTGGCTCAGCTGGAAAGCAGTTGACTCACAACCGCAGGGTCCCTGGTTCAACGACTGGTCAATACGTCTTTTTTTATTTATAAAAGTTACAGCTAAATGTGATAATGTAGTTAATAAATGTATTCTTTGATATGGTTTAGCCTTTCTCAGGCTACAACATGGTTAAGTTTACGAATATTATTAAGGAATACAAATCCCTCTTTGCAATGTTTACCAGCCTCTTTAGGCTTTTCAATCACAATCATTAAACTGGAATAAATACAATATTATTAACATGAAAATATGATTTTATGTTCGTTGTTTAGAGTTATTCTAAGGCTTTACTCATTGGGAACTCGGTATGAGATAGAGCACACTGTTGAGATGTCCAATCTGCCTGTTTTACACACTTTGACCAACAGGGGGTTTGTGTTCAAATGAAGCACATGATGAAGTCTCATGAGATGAACCCTTTTGCGAACCAATTGGCTGGAAAGCTTCATAAGGCTTCATCTCACCATCACTACTAGCTACTAGCTAGGTAACTAACTTGATCCAGCCACTCCTGGTCCTTTCATCAGACGGGAAGCAAAAGAACGAGCAAGACCCATTGCTGGAATGATAACAACCTGGTACTAAGCACACAGGCATCTTGTTAAAGTTATCTTATCTTAGCCAGTGCCATATAGATAGATTATATATATATGGCGCTGATCTTAGCTATCTTTTAGTGGAGGAAAACAATTGTGACATCACTTACTGTGATTTGTAGTCTTTCTAGTTGCGTATTTTTCATAGTCTTATATTTGAACAGTTTTACGACAAACTGACTTTTGACATGGAAATTATTTTTTAAGATTGACAAACATCATGTGTAATTCATGGCACAATTCAAACGGGATCGAAAGATACGTTTTCTCTCTCCATTGACTTCAATACATTATTTTTCCGAAATAATGTCCCATGGACCGGAAGTAGATGGGCGTGACTTCGCCACTATGCATGTGACGTCACTATATGCGGAAGTCACTGCGGGTGATAAAGTGTCGCTAAGTTTACGTTAATTGATTCAACTAACACACATAAACTAAAAACATCTTGTAACAAAGGAAAACATTGTGCTCTATTTTAACTCACAAGGTTCACAAACAAAACAATTGCCATTAGCTAGTCACCCAAACAAACAAATCATGTTAGCTATAGTATTTTAGCTAGCATAAATTAGCCTAGCTAGCAGCCAGCAAACTGATTAGTAATTCATTATGTTTTACATTTTCTTACTCACTTCTGTTCTGACTCGTTTCAGTTTCTATGCATGTTTTCACAGCCTGAACAGAGCATGGAGACGTTTGATTCTTGGCCAACCGTTAATGTCAACAGACCACCGAGACTCATTGTGGAGGCCAACTGCCATTAATATAAGACGATAATCATGTTGAATTAAAATGTAACCTCTAGGTGGCGTAAAAACCGGGGGAGAAGAAGTAGGCCTACTAATTTCTTGTACTCAAGTAAAAGTAGAAATACCACAGTATAGGAATACTCTATTACAAGCATTTGTGTAAAGTAACTAAGTACATTTACTCAATTACTGTAGCCTACTTAAGTACAATTTGGAGGCACTTGTGGCTACTCGTATTTCAATTTGTTTTCTACTTTCTACTTTTACCTACCTTTTACCTCTACAACAACAATTAAACAAAATGCCTCTTGAGGGCATGAAGTGACAAAACCCGAAAGTACACAAAAAGTACACTTCAGATGCTCAAGTTCCTTGACATGCTTCACGCTTTGAAATGTCCCCGATATCTGTTACGGTTCTTCAACAAAACTTTCACATGTAAGAGGTTTATGTCTCATTCAGAACAATGAAAATGCTCTCCTCTCACTGATCACCATGGAAACCTTTGATCTCTGGACACGTCGTTAGCTCAAATATCAACACCTGTGTCATGGAACACGATGATGTCATAACTCCAACTGACATGCTCAGAGCTGCAGACTTCAGATAATGGTTAATGGTCCTGCCCTCAACAGCACACTGGTGGGTGTCTAGTGCAGTGGTTCCCAAACTTTTTGTGCCCAAGGCACACCAAGGCGCATTTGATCTCGCTTATTTTTAGAGAGGTCTGTGTGAAATTCACCTTCAGACATGTATTCTCTCAAATTGTTGTAAAACACTAAAGTCTTCATTCTGTCAGATGCAGTGGCGAGCCGTGACTTTTCTACCTAGGCCCTCTGACCCCACCCCCCTCTTCCCTCGAAAAAAAAAAGAAAAAGTTTTTACGTCACAGCCTATAGTAGACTTCAGCGGAATATCAAAACAGCGGCCCGGGGTGCAACACGCATCAATGACAGCGACCCTCTACCACACAAAACAACACCATTTATATAAACACCTATCATGACAGGGCACCCACAGCCAAGTAACAATTACAAATGAATTAAGTCGGCACGGCGGCCCACATTGAAAATCACTTTGACTTACCTTTGATGATCAAATCACCTAAACACAAAGTCCATCCTCCTGTCTTTTTGGATGAAGAACTTGATGGCGTCGTCATGCAGGTGATCCTTTGCTTTTAAAGCAATCAGCAATTCCTTCTCGATCGAAATTAAGGCCAAGTCTGACAGTCGGACTTGCCCAGTCGTGGACCTCGAGTAGCTTTTTATGCGCTTCAGCGCAGAGAAGGACCTCTCCACAGAGGCAGTGGACACAGGTATTGTCAGGATGATGCATGAGAGGGTGTACACCTGTTTCATGCTTTCACTCAGTCCTTTTTTGAGGAGAAACTGATGAATGTCGGCTGGGCTTTTCCCCAAAATGTCAGACATGCCGTACATCACGGCGAGTTCCGTGTGCAGTCGAGGCTGGTCGAAATATCCGCCATAGCTCTCCATCAAACTGTTCAAGGCAGCAGTTGGGAAATAGTTACAGTAATGCCCGAACTGTTGCGGGTCCAGAAGGGCCAGGAATTCCAGCTTTTTGTGGTCACTGAAGCGGTTGGAAATCTGGGTTAGCAGGCTGTCAATTACGCTGCAGTGGAGCTCCCTGTACCGTGCACGAACGTCTCCTTGAGCTCCACGGCCGCGCGGAGGACCAACCAAAGCCTGGGTTTCATCGTAGACGCTGTCAAAGTTCCCCTTCTCCTGTTCAATTTGTCGCTGTAGCTGATCCACTCTGGCCAGGCAGAACTGCATATCAAAACCTTTGTTCTGAAGTATTTCAAAAACAACATCCGAGTAGGAGAAGATAGCGTGGAAGGTTTTCAACCAAAAGCTGAAATCGAAGCTGGTAAGGAGGGTGATGTATCCATCAGAGCAATGAACAGTTTCGTCATCAAACTCTGTGTGATGGTCTACGATGTGCTCGAACACCTACGAGAGTAATGCTTAGTTTAGAAAAAACAACTTATAGACCTCCAGTAAACACTAAGATTAGCTTTTCATTTAATGTAATACTAGAGAAGTTCTTTACCTTCATGTTTTTATGAGTGGGTAGTTTCCAACACTAAATCATTTCTTTATTATTGTTAATATTTCCATTACGTTCATTGTTATTATTATCTTACCTCTCTCAATTCCCTGGTCTTCTCTGCCACTGTGCACACCAAGCGAGAATGAAAGCACCAGCGAGTAGGAGCTGCCCGTGGAAGCCTATGCTGGCAAATATCATCCAGTAGCTTGGTGCGCTTTGCTGAGCGGCTGAAAAAGGTGGCCAAGCCAGAGAGGTGGGAGAAGAAGACCTTACACTCTCTTATCTTGGAAGCTCCATTTGACAAAACGAGATTTAAGATGTGAGCATAGCAGTGAATGAAAAGGGCCTGTGGAATTGTTTCCTTAACTTTCGCTTGCACCCCATTCAATCCAGAGGCCATAACAGCTGCTCCATCGTAGCACTGCGCGACCACTTGTCAATACAGCCACTCTCCCTCAGGAACTCCAGCAGCCGTGTAGCTATGGCCTCTGCTCGTTTGTCCTCTGTCACATCTTCGTACTTGAAGAAACGCTCTTTTATCCCATCGTCAGTGACATATCGAAGCACATATGACATCTGCGCCACGTTGCTAATGTCTGTCGTTTCATCCAACATGACCGCGACAAAAGGTGCCTTCCTCAGCTCCTCTTTCATGCTATCCGTCATTACACTAGCGACAGCGCTGATCAGGTCATTCGGAATCCTTGAAGATGTGCCGGTAAATACTGTTGATGTGGCGAGGTGTGTGTGCAGGTCGCTGTCATATTCTGCCACTAAATCCAGCAACTCTATGTAATTCCCCTTGTTTGATGAAGTTACACTCTCATCGTGACCTCGGAACGGCAACTCCTGCTTGCCCAAGTACACCACACAATTTATCAGGCGTTTCAAAATTCCTCGGTTCCTCTTCACCTTTTCATTATGAAGGATGACACCCCGGCGTTGTTGCTCATCCAGCTGGAGCTCTATCCTGGTGTCCCCAAATGTTTTAAGCCGAATAGTAGCTCTGAGGTGACCTGAAGCATTCTGATGGCGATGTGCTGATTTGGATAAACTTCCTAAATCAGAATATCCATCTCTGGCCCATGACCCACTGTCCGCTCCAAAAAGCAAGCAATCCCAGCAGTACAGCTTTTGTTCCCTGGTTGATCCGGTCATCCAGTTGTATCTGGCGTAATTGCCGATATTAAAATGCCTCTCGAACCGTTTGGTTTTTTGAACCAAATTAAGCTGTGGTGTTGGTCGCCCTTTGGTAATTAACTCCAATTTATCCGTGTAACTCATTCTTGAAAAAGACTCGGTTAGTAGTTTCGCAACGATGTCATCACTATCACTAACGTGAGCCATCGTGAATGAACGTATGCTAATTCCGCCTAGCTTGACCCGTTGATATATCACATGCATAAACTTGGCAGCGCAGCGGGCGGAACTTGTCATAAAGTCCGCGATAATAAAGCCCTCCCATTTAGAGGGAAGATATGATTGGTCAATTGTACTGTCACTTGACATTACTCTCTCGTTGTTTTACTATAGCGGTCCCTCTGTGAATCGCATAGAGGGCCAGACGAGCTTTTTTCATGTAACCCTTCACATTCAAACAGAAACTGAACAGGCAGATTCGAAGGATTTATTTCTTTGGAAATTTTATTTTAAATACAATTAAATCAAGTTTTTTCGGTAAAAATATAACAAAAATAATATTTTAAAAATATATATTTAAAAAAAATAATATATTTTTTAAATGTTTTTAAATATTATTTTTTAGAATATCTTAGGCCCTCAGAGAGGGCCTAGAGGGCCCTGACGGCTCGCCACTGGTCAGATGCAATGCAAATCACCGTTTGTCACATGTAAAAACTCTGCAAATCACCGTTTGTCACATGTAAAAACTCGCGAATGCGCAATGCATATTTTGTCACATGTAAAAACTCTGCAAATCACCGTTTGTCACATGTAAAAACTCGCGAATGCGCAATGCATATTTTGTCACATGTAAAAACTTGCGAATGGTTCAGACGGTCTAGATGTCAATTTTGTCCTACTTGGGTTGCCGTCCGGCGTTGTCCAATATGGCGGACCATCTCGCACATGCGCACAGCAGATCGGGCAGAGCTGCAGATCGGGTAGTGACAGCCACTAGCAAGTCCTGTTCAACAGAGAGCCGTGAGTCCCGTGACCTCCTGTTGTTCTTCATGTCAATCAGAGTAGAGAACGCCAACTCCAGAGATGGGGTCGTTACTAATTTTTTTAAATATATTACATATTACTTTAAAAAAAAAGTAATATATTACACTACTTCGTTACTATCTACATAAAGTAACTCGTTACTTTACTCGCCGAGCACGTACGAACTTGCACATGCCTGAGTGGCAATAACTTTCCTTACCATCAGGCGGCGGTAGTGTGTATTTGTCATTCAAAACAGGCAACAACCGGAAGACAGAGAAGAAGAACAGACTGCGTGATATAAACAAACAACAAATAGCTGTGCGGTAGCTTAACCTTAGCATGTGTTCTTTGCAGGTGTTTGTTGAGGTTTGACGTAGTGTTTCTAGCAGTGGATAACAGCTTCTGGCCTGGACACAGTTTGCACCTCACCGTCACATTCCTGTCTATTCTTCGGACGAACTCAAAATAATGGGCATACCTCCACCCCTCGAAAGTTATCGCTGACTCAGCCATGTTTATGCAGCACTGCACGTGGAGATGTGGACGCGCAAGTCGCGCAGATTACGTACATATAAACCTACAAAGTACTGATATAGTAAATAAAAAAAACATTATTTTTGTGTAGTTGTATATTGCAATAATAACGTATGGTTGTCTCAAAATTCCACGGCACACCCGGACTTGCCTCACAGCACACCAGTGTGCCGCGGCACACCGTTTGGGAACCACTGGTCTAGTGCACTCATCCTTGGCTGAGATTGATATTGAAAGTGGATGAGATTGTTGATGATGTTGGAAATTATTGATGATATTGGTGATGTTGTTAATGATGTCAGGAATTATGTCTTGAATGTTGTTGTATTGTTTTAAGTGTCGGACCCCAGGAAGAGTAGCTTTTGTCAAGAGCAATAGCTAATGGGGATCCTTAATAAACATAAACATAAACATAAACGTCAATTATATATGCCGTTTCCATGGATCCCTCGCCGTAAAACACGATGTCGCTGTAACTCCAATGGACACGGTCCGATCGTCCCCCAAACTTCGCTTGTATATCACCGGTCCATGCCTCAACAGCTCTACGCCAAATCTGAGATCTCACCATAGGCTGTTGCCATGGAAACGCATCCCTCGCCATAAAACACGATGTCGCTGTAGCTCCAATGGACACAGTCCGGTCGTCCCACAATCTTCACCTGTATATCACCTCTCCATGCCTCAACAGCTCTACGTCAAATCTGACATCTCACCATATGCCGTTTCCATGGAAACGCGTCCCTCGCCATAAAACACGATGTTGTCATAACGCCTATGAAAAGGGTCAAAACAGCACCACACTTCAGATAATGGTTAACGGTCCAGCCCTCAACAGCTCTACGTCAATTATGGGGTTTCATCATATGCCGTTTCCATGGAAACGCATCCTTCGCCATAAAAGACGATGTCGCTATAACTCCTATGAAAATGTTCAAAAAGTGCTCAAACTTCACATGTGTGCTAACAGTCCAGCCATGAAGACATCTACGGGACAGTTTTGAGATTTCTTCAAATGCCGTTGCCATGGCTCGCCATGAAACACGGTTTTCTCATAACTTCTGTGAAAATGCTCCAAACGGCCCAACATTTCACAGGTTTGGTAACGATGCAGCCATCAACGCATCTAAGCGTATTATGGGATGCCATCAAATGCCGTTGGCATGGCGACAGATCATTCACCATCAAGTTAGTTCAAAAGTTTGCAGTTAAAATATTCTGCTGCTTTTCCAAGCCTTTTTACTTTCTTTTCTTCTCTCATCATACCACATTCAAGCCCCCAGTGTTCATGTATCATTTCAATCTAAATGTTTCACTTTCTTTACATTTCAGCATAGCAATTTAGCGTCAGCTTTCCAGCATAAAGCATTCCCACTAGCAATTTCTTCAGGACTTGCATTCTCTAGTTAAAACTAGCTGCACCTTTACCAGTTTTGATAACACTTTAATGCATCATATCACATATAATTAATCCAAATCTGTTTAGAAACTAAAGGTATACAATACATGTAGTGGAGTTGAGGTATACCATTAACCTCTAAATTGCAGTGGTGTAGAAGTTCAAAGTAGCAACACATTTAAATACTCAAGTAAAGTACAAGTATTGCAAAATTGTACTTAAGTAGAGTACCTGAGTAAATGTACGTAGCTACTTTACACCAATACAAACAGAGTATTTATACTTTGAGGACATTAGTCTTAGCCCAGTACACAAGTAAATATATCGTTTTTCTCAATAGTTGTTTAAGAAATGTGAGTCAAGACTGCAAGTAATGTATAAATATATAATCTTTATTCATATGCTCAGATAACAGTGTTGGGAAGCATTACTTTCACAAAAACAACTTGTGAGACTACATGAACAAAACAGACAAAGCTAGGAGGTCTTCTTACTCATGGATATGTATAAAGAAATGCAATATAATCTATTGAATGTTATTGTGATAGCAGAAACTAAAATAATAGAAAGAGGCTTGACATTTTAGGATGACATTAAATGCAAACATAATATAACAAATACTGCAAATGTTAATTTCCTACTAGAGTTTAGAGTTAAATAAAAACAAAATAAATCGGAAATCTTTGTAACATGACCCTCAATACTGTTTCATAATAATATACTTTAAGAATACAAAAATTATACTTGATATAAAGTATCAGTGCATAATTACTTCCTCTCCATATAGACAAACTAATTATAATTTTGAAGTACACAGGGGTTCAAAATATCCAATTTATACTTCAGTTTACTTACGGGCAAATACAGTTTATTTTGTGGTCAACAAGCACAAGCTAGCCACATTTCTACAGGGTGTGTAAGCTAAGTTTGGTCCACAGTACTTTCAACACATCAGGTAATACAAACAAAACACTCGATTTTACATGATAACAAACAATAGCTGTGAATCCGAGCAAACTGGTGCTCACTTCAAATACATGTAGAGTTTGTGTAGCCTGCCCTGCAAGCTTTACTAACACGTAGCACAAAACAAAGGACGGATAAAATACACTTACATGTTTCCCTTAGCTTTACTTTAAGTGAATACAGCAGCACAAACAACATATACATCTGGAGTGAAGTGTTGGGATATTACATGTTGATATGAGGAAAACTGGGCTTTAAAAAAATCCTTTGGTTGACTCTTGAATTATAAATCTAAATAAAGAAACAGAACTAAATAACTAAGTGACAGTGTACACAATCTAAATA